CCTCTTCGCCCCCCTCATCATTTCCTGCGCCGCGCTGCTGGAGAAGCTCTCCGACACCTACACCTGCTTCGCCACCGAGGGCGGGCGGCACCTCCACGTCCTGCACACGGTAGGACCGGCACCGGGGAGCGGGGACCCCTGGCCGGCCCCCGCCTGACCCCGCTGCCGGTTTGCAGTTCGGGGACTGCCTGTACATCGCAGTGAACGGCGACGGGACGCAGAGCGAGGACGACCTGCGCCGGACGCTGTTCGTGCTGCGGCGCTTGGTGGAGGCTCACTGTGGCCTCGTCACGCTCGACTCGCACCTCATCCGCAAGGAGTGAGCGGGCACAGCCACCGGCACAGGGTGGCATGTCGGGTTGCTGCGGTGGCTGCCCTGAGGTGCCTCCGTTCAGCACGGGGGTGGGAGTGGGTGTCTCCATCTGGGACCCCCCCTTTGCCGCAGGACCCCCTGCCTGCTGGGCTGCAGCTCGGTTCTGCTGTGTCAGCCCCACGCCAGGAGCTGGGTTTTGGTGTCCCATGCAGGGAGGCGACGGCCACCTATGAGTTTACACTCTGTGATGGCTGCAGGTTGCGTCCGGCTGATTCGGAGCAGCGGGAGCGTGTGTGGAGCCTGCTGCGGGGCCTGCTGGAGACCTACAGCCACCTGCGGGAGGAGGACCAGAGCTTTGCAGTGGAGGTACCAATGCTCTGGGCTGTCCCTTACTTTTGGCGTGGCTCGGGGGTGGGAGGCTGTGTGGAGTCCCAGGACGTGGGAAAATGCAGTGGGCTAGGGACTGTAGGGCAGCTCCCTGGAGCAGTGAAAGCTCAGACCTGCCTCTGGCAGGGTCTGAGAGAGCTCAGCAGCCTTCCCTCCTCCTGCACCCCAGGCCGTGGAGCGGCTGATCCATCCTCAGCTGTGCGAGCAGTGTATCGAGTTCCTGGAGCGACAGGTGGTACAGTACATCAACACCAGCCCTGAACGTGGTGGGGATGAAGTGGGCCATGCCTTCCTCCTGGTACACACCAAGCTGCTGGCCTTCTACTCCAGGTGTGCCTATCCCCACCACCCTCCCCAGGGCAGCTATTTCTCCTCCCAGCTGACCCTTTCCTTCTCGGGCCTGCAGCCGCAACGCCAGCTCCATCCGCTCAGCCGACCTGCTTGTCCTCATCCTCCTGGTTCAGGACCTGTACCCCAGTCAGAGCGCCGAGGAGGAGCTTGGCCCACAGGTGCTTCAGAGCAGGACTGGGGGTGCAGCAAGTCAGGGTGCTCCCATGGGGTGATGCCTTGACAGCTGGGGCTTAGGGGCTTTTTTTCCTCTTTTTGAAAGCCCACACCAGGGAATGCTTTCCCTCAGGCACCCAAGAGAAGTGAGAGCATCCCTGTGAGTGGGCCTGGCTCCCATGGAGCTGCAGAGAAGGACTCAGATGACCAAGTGAGTCCTTGCAATCAGGAGCTGCAGGGTGGGATGCTGAAAGGGCTGTCTGCATCATTGCTATCGCTGAGCCATTCATTTTTGCTGGCAGGACACAGATGATCTCTCTGTGCCTGAGGTCTACTACACACCTGAACCCTCTCCAGGCCAGCACAGTACAGGTGAGTGCCCAGTTGGGCAGCAGCCGTGCCCCACACCCCCAGCCCTGCAGAGGCTCCAGGGCTCTGAGAGGGCTGGAAGGGTGCCCTGCGGTGTTCTCTGCAGGCAGCGAGAGCTGGTCAGAGGGTGCTGAGATCCTGAGCATCGGGGAGGTGGATGCTGCAGACGTCCAGGTGAGCACGGAGTCCCGCAACACCTCCCAGCTCCACACTTCACCAGCCTGTTCCGGTGCCCTTTGTGATTTCTGGTCCTCAACCCTCGTCTCTGGCTGTGCTGCAGCTGTGGGTGCCCTGCATCCCCCATGTTGTGCATGATTGTGACAGCTCTGATCTCCTTCTCTGAGGCATTGCTTACAAGGAGCTGTCAGCAGAGAGGGAGTGGGGCTGCCTCAGAGCAGTCCAGTGTCTCCCTCTGCTGCCGTTGAGCTTTCTGGGCTGCTTCCCTGATGGATGCTGCAACATCTCACACACTGCAAGCAAATACTGGCCTCGGTTTAAGGCATTTGCAACTTTTGTCTTTGTAACAGTCTTCTTCTCTGCTACTTCTCTGGGGTACCTGGGCACTTTCCTCACTGCTGATCTCTTGCTACATGGCCCCTCCAGCTCCTTTGGTTCTGTCATGCCTGGTTGCAGCTTTCGATGGTAATGGCAGGCAATGCTGCATCCTCGCAGAGCATCCCTGGTGTGAGCTGTCCCATCCCCACAGGGGACTGAACCTCTCCCCTGTCTTCCCAGATGGCAGAGGACTTGCTCCAGACCTTAGGGCCTCTGGTCCCTGAAGCTTCCAACCCCAGAAGGATCTTTCTGGATGCCAGCCTGCGGGAAGGTTACTGCCCTTTGCTGCCACACACCATGCACTGCCTCCCACTCTGGCCAGGCATCTCCCTTGTGCTACTGACCAAGGTGAGCTACCTCAAAGGTGAGGGAATCTATGTTGCCCTGAGTCCTGCCTGACCCACCTCTCCCTTCCCTGGCAGGGCCCTATGACCCAGGTAGCTGTCACCTTGTACCAGCTCCTGGATGGTTTCTTGGTGCTGGAGAAGAAGCTGGAAGAGGGACCAGATGTGGGAGTTGCACGTTCCTACCCATTCCTCGCTGAGCTGCGGCAGCGCATGGACAAATTTGTGAAGAAGCTGAGTGGACAGGACATCCAGGTGGGAGTGGGGACATGAGGACCCTGTCCTGTTTTCTCCACAGCCTGACACAGTCCTGTCTCTCTAGTTACAGAACACCTGGCTGGACTTCAAGAACAAGATATTTTCACGGAATGAGCCTGGGAGCTCCCTAGAGTGAGTAGAGGGAAGCCAGGGAAAGTCTTCACAACAGGCAGGGACCTTTGCCAGCCTGGGGACCAGCAGAGCTGTCCCTGCAGTGCTGGGGACCCAGTGTCCAAACCCAGCACTGTCTGTGTCCCCTGGCTCAGGCTGCTGCAGTCAGTGGCCAACGTGAAGAGGCAGCTCTGCTCCGTGTACCGCCAGCTCTTCCTGACCTCTGCCGGCCACAGCCTGTCCCAAGGGCTGCGGGACCGTGCTCAGAAGCTGATGAGGTGAGTGCATGGGGATGGTGATCATCACCAGGGGGCTGCCCCACACCCAGCTGTGTTGGGGCTTGTGGGTCCTGGCCTCTCACCGTGCTTCTTCTCGGCAGGGAGAAGCTGCTGGACTGGCGGGACTTCCTGCTGGTGAAGAGCAGGCGCAATATCACCATGGTGTCATACCCATCTCTGCAGCTGGGAACCCAGCCTGGCAAAGGGGTGTCCCTAAGGGGGTAGCAGATGTGGGAGTGGGACCCCAACCCCGGCACCAGGATCAAGGGGAGGAATGTAGTGGGCAAAGGTGGTTTCCTGAGGCTCAGGGACTGTCCTGGAAGGGCACCAAAATTGTTGGACACCCTTAACCCATCCCACGTACCTGGAGGACTTTCCTGGTCTGGTGCACTTCATCTATGTGGACCGCACAGCTGGACAAATGATGGCACCATCACTCAGTGTGACAGAGAAGTCCAGCGCAGAGCTGGGCAAGGGTCCCCTGGCCACCTTCATCAAGAAAAAGGTACTACTCATGGGGTAGGTGTGGGATGGGAACCATAGAAGAGGGTGGAAATTGGAGGGGTTTCTGCCCAGGTTTCAGGTGCCCCTTGTCCCCTAGGTCTGGTCCCTGGTCACACTGGCCCGGCGATACCTACAGAAGGGCTATACAACACTGATGCTGCAGGATGGCGACTACTGCTGCTCCTATTTCCTCTGGTTTGAGAATGAGATGGTATGTGGGGTCAGGAAGGGGCTGAGCCCCTCTTTCCCTGGGACAGGGAGCAGGGCTGTAAGCATAGCCAGCTCTGATTCCTTGGTGGTCCCATCCCAGCTCCTGCCCTCCGCTGTCATTTCTCCTCAGGGCTACAAGCTGGAGGTGATGGAGGTACCAGTCCTGTCTGATGATTCTGCTCCCATTGGGATGCTTGCAGGGGACTACTATAGGTGAGCAGTTGCTAGCCCTGTGGTTTGGCACCAGGGCTCAAAGCTGTGATAGCACACAGGTCCCTGTGAGCGATGCCAGGATGCCAGTGTTGTGGTGTCACTGGAGTTGCACCAGCCCATCTCCTCAGGCTGGTGCCATTTTGCTGTGTCCTGTGTCCATAAAGTACTTTATAGAGGGAAGGTTGTTAGAACAAGGTTGCCTGTGTGCACTTAACCTGCCAAGCCCCTGTCTTCTCCTCCCCAGGAAGCTGCTGCGTTACTACAGCAAGAACCACCAGGCAGAGGTAGTGAAGTGCTACGAGCTGCTGACCGTGCACCTGGGCATCATCCCCTCCGAGCTCGTGGTCCAGCAGGCCTATGACTTGGCCCGGCGCCTCTGGGAGCCATCCCGCATCCCTCTGCTCTGAGCTGCCTCCAGCCCCCTTGGGGCCAGGATTAAAGAGGGTGTGTGGGTGTTCCCAGAGCCTGGGTTGCTTTCTCGGTGTATGTGTGCCATGCCATGGATTGTGCCTGTAGGCAGCAAAAGGCAACCTTCCCATCCTCCAGCCTGGCCAGGGCTGGCACTGTCCCTCTTCCTGCTCCATGTGGTTTTCACTGCCACCCAGCAGCCTCTTGGGACTGGCAGAGAGTGGGGCTGAGAGGTTGTTGGCAGATCACTGTCTTGCTAAAAAGTGCACTTCCAGAGCAGGGTTTATAATGTTAGCTTGGCATTGCTGCCAGGCTTTGGCCAGAAATCAAGATAGTGTAGCCAAACCTAAGTGGAGCAATGGTCTAGGGTACATCCCCCTTCCCCCTCACCCTCAAATGTGAGGCGTGGGGCCCTCAGGGGTTTGGCAGGCTCTGGGGAGGTGCAGCCTATCCTCTATCCTCTTCCCTGCACCCACATTTCCAGGCACCAGTTAGCCACAGATCTGAGCTTAGCTGGGAACAGCGAGTAAATCCTGAGTCAGCTTATGTGTTTCCCAGGCACGTCTGGGCTCAGTGCACGTCCAAACCTCAATTACTGCTGGGAGTGGGGCCAGCCCCAAGGGACTCAGGCAGCCACTGCCCCTTGTTGCTCCCATGCCACTTGCTGGAGCTGGGGATGGCACTTCAGCGAGCACTGGACCAATACAGGGCCTTTGACCCGTCCTGCTGAGCTGGAATTTGCCCTGCTGCTTGATAGTGCTGGATTCAGAGCCAGCCTCAGCCCCAAACTGCCCCTTTTCCTGCTGCTTTCAGGGCTGTGCTTGGGGCTTGCCTGCTCAAGGGGGGGCCAAAATCCCTCTGTCCTGCCATGCTTGGCCCTCTGTCCAGCCACGTGCCTCTGGATCATCCCTGGAGCAGAACAGGAGCTGGGGGAGGGGGGCTCTCAGGCCCCTGCCTGCCTGCTCATCACCCTCCTGGACTACAGGCTGGGCAGCTCCTGGCACCCTGCTGAGCCCCAGGCAGGATCTGTGCCCTTCTCAGCCCTGGGGCTCGTCTCCGGCCCCGCTGCAAGCCCCCAGCAGAGCTGGGCCATGGTCAGCGCCTCGCTGGGGACAGCAGCCTGGCTGGGGACAGCAGCCTGGCTGGGGACAGCAGCCGCGGGCCAGCGCTCCTGAGCAGCCTCCCCGCCTCCTCAAGGCGTTCCCTGCCCGGGCCCCCCCGGCCCCTCCGTGTGCCCGGAAGCCCCGGGAAAAGTTCCGCC